AGAGAGAGAGAGAGAGAGAGAGAGAGAGAGAGAGAGAGAGAGAGAGAGAGAGAGGTTCACTACTGTGGGCCAAAACTCCAACAAACATCTCATGCGAGACAGACATTGGCCCGCAGTAGTGAACCTCATGCTGTTGGACAGGGAAAGTAGAAGCGACAGAGAGCGGTTCACTACTGCGGGCCAGAACGACAACAAACAGCACCGGTTGACACTGATATGGCACGCAGTAGTGAACCACAAGTAGTTGGAAACGCAAAGACGCAGCACCACCGAGAGGTTCACTACTGCGGGCCAGAACTCCAATAAACATCTCATGCGAGACAGAAACTTGGCCCGCAGTAGTGAACCTTATGCTGTTGGACAGGGAAAGACGCAGCGACAGATGGGGGTTCACAACTGCGGGCCAGAACGACAACAAACATCAGCGGTGGACAGTGACATGGCACGCAACACACCCTCCGTGTAAAGCTTAAAGTGATGAATTAAGGATTCCATGGATTGTTTCATTTGAGAGCGTGAAGGAGGACAAAGTTTACGATCATCCACTTTGATCATGCCACTAGGCATTTGATTCAAGCATTGGACAATGATTCGAAGACTTTGTCGCATTTCTTCAATGCGGACACAATAACGATCATAACAATCTCCTCGTGTACCTACGGGTACATCAAATTCTACTTTGTCATAAACATCGTAGGGTGCTGCTTTTCGCAAATCCCAGGAAACCCCTGAAGTAGTGAACCACAAGTATGTCAATACGGAAAAAAGTTGCGAACATTATAGACAGAAAAGTGTAAACGAAGAAGTTGTAATACGGGCATCAATAAACATACATAATAGTGTGTGTGTGTGTGTGTGTGTGTGTGTGTGTGTGTGTGTGAGAGAGAGAAAAAAAAAAAAAAATCACGCGTCCCTGACCACCCGCGCAGCCACGATTTTACATCTTGTGTATAGAGTTTTTAAGCGGTCGTTGATGTGAAGTCCTTTCCTGCAATGCTCACATTCGTTATTCCCTCCATGCTGGCCTGCGTTCGTTACGACCTGTACCATTATCTCTTTGATGTACGATATGAGATGGAACAGACAGTCCGCAACCAGCCTCGCCATTTGTCGTGAATTCGCTTTTGCAATGAACTTTTGAAATGTGTCCGTCGTCATAGGCAGCGCAATAGATTATGGATCAGCACAATGTGCTTTGCTAGTGACGACATATGGGAAGTTGTGACGAACGTGGTGACAATTCAGTGTGCCAACATCGGTGCACGCCAGCAGGGCATGCGGCGCAGACGCGGAATCCCTGACACTGCTCGTAGAAATGACAGAAACTGCGGAACACAGGATGTTCACTGTGTTCTAGTTGTTGCTAGATGGTCCAAAGTGTTTAGACATAACTCATTTAAGGGAGGACATAACTGCCAGACTGAAGGCAATAGCTGAAACGAAGACCACCACGTTTGACGAGTTCCATACATGGTTGGATGGTGAAACACGCAGGCGCACCGCGGTCTTGAATCGGTTCGCCGCCCACGTCACACAGAGAACTCACAGGGAATCACAAGGACTTGATGTCGCATCTTGTGGCAGCCATGAGAAGTGTGTGCTGAAGGAGGGGTGGGCATCGTATGATAGCCAATAATATAATACGGGTTCGCTAACTGCTTCGTCACGCAATGTCGTCGACCTCTTGGCCTTCGCAGCAGACTCTATTCGCCACTATAAGGAAACCGTAGACGAGTACGGTCTCTGTGATGAGGGTGTCGCGATTGGTAAGGATGACCTTCCTTGTTGTATGACGTCTCTGTTGAACAGTTGCTCGGACGTCATTGATGCCCTGCAACACACACGAGGTAGGTTGTTGGATGGCGAAATGACGGTGACTTGTGCGTACGGCCTAGTTCGTCTGACATCTGTCTCGCCAATTGTTTCTGCTTATCTACCTCGTCTGTTAGCCTATCTATATATTCTCGCTGCTTCTCTACTATCTCACCCCAGTTCCGGTCCATCTCAGTCGTCTTCTCTTCTTCGGCCCCCAGTAGTAGAAAGTGATCCGCCGTTGCATCACACTCTTCGCCTGACTTTCTCTTCTGTCCGGTTTTGGCCAATCTTGACATCTGGAAATATATGTACATACAGAGAAATACAGAGAGATAGAGATAGATAGATAGATAGATAGATAGATAGATAGATAGATAGATAGATAGATAGATAGATAGATAGATAGATAGAGAGAGAGAGAGAGAGAGAGAGAGAGGCAGAGACACGCCCTCACTACTTCCATAGTTGTTGTCAACGGGCGCCTACCAAAGATTGGCTATATGTACGTGGCAACATACATTGTTATTTATTACTGTACATCTACGTTTCCCCCGTACATGACTCGATATAACAGTGAACAACACAACTTAACAAATACAAAGCAGACCATTCTTTCCAAACGCATCCGTCGGAATGAGGGAGTGAGAGAGACAGAGATGCAGGAAAGAAAGAATGGAGAGAGAGAGAGAGAGAGACTCTCGAGAGAGAGAGACGTCACAAACAAAGAAAGAAAGAACCATCCGACAAAACTAAAATATATGGAGTTCGTTACTGCGGGCCAAAATCACACTTATGTACCTCATTCAATGTGTTCGTGGCCCGCAGTACTGAACTCTCTCTCTATCTCTCTCTCTTTCTCTCTCTCTCTCTCTCTCTCTCTCTCTCTCTCTCTCAATCTCTCCCTCTCTGATTCTCTATCTCCCATTTGTAAGAAATAGCAAAACAAAAGAAAAGGAAGTAAGAAAAAAAACAAAGAAAGAAAGAAGAAGAAGAAAATAAAAAAGAAAGAAAGAAAGAAAAGAGAGAAAGCGAGAAACAAAGAACAAAAGGAAGGAAGAAAGGAAGGAAGAAAGGAAGGAAGAAAGGAAGGAAGAGAGAAAGAAGAAAGAAAGAAAGAAAG